CCCCCCCCCCCCCCCCCCCTCCGTTCCCAATCATATCACTATAAAATTTATGAAAAGAAAATATATTGCACTATATAACCTCTTCTTTAATTTTATGCTTGAACCGATTTGAATTGTTCTTCTCATTTTCTCGATGTAAACCGTATTTTGTTGCGTTCTGACATAGATCGATCTTCACTCCTTATGCAAAATATGTAGACCACTTTTTATTCATTTCTTGGCATAAATCTTTCTTCATGTTTTTCTCGGTATAACATCTTCTACGGCTCAAGTATCGATATTCAATAGCTTCTCTCGCCTTTCTATTTCTATGAACAGTAATGTCTATTTAGAAAGACAAGTTTAAAGGGAAGATATTAAGAGAGATAATTACTTGGAACAATAGTTTATTGTTCGTAACTAAAACTTGTGGCAAAATTGCTAGCTGTTTTTATTCAGTTTATTAATTGTAACTTCATATAGGTATATTTATTTCATCAGCACACAATACATTAACCAATTCATTGATAATTATTCATATGTGAACGAAAAAAAGTTATCATATGTTTTTTGGTCATGTTGGATTCACTATTTTGAAATTTCAATCCTGGATTCATCATCAGTGATTCAAAAAAATCCTTATAGTCGAACTTTCACGTAAAATACGAAATTATTTCACCAATTTTGACAAAAAACATTTCGAGTCTACAGTTAAACGTATTTGGATTAGCTTTAAACTCAGTGAATTTTTTGATGAATTTATGACAAACACTAAATGTACGAAATAAATTCTATTTTCATGTAAAGTGTTCAGTGTCTTCCTCAGTGTTTCTATTTCTATGATGTCGACTTAGAAAGACAAGATTAAAGGGAAGATATTAAGAGAGATAATTACGTGGAACAATAGTTTATTGTTCATAACTGAAACTTGTGGTAAAACTGCTAGATGTCTTTGTACAGCAACAGCTTGTCAATTTATAATTTTACGGCACGATATTATCGTCAGCGCACAATATATTAAATGTATTCAATCGATTACCGAGGACTTTTTATACTTCTATTACATTCTATTTCTTCGTTATTTTGTCATATATTATCGTTTCCTTATTGAATATAAATGTTGCACGTAATATTATAGTAAGAGGTATCGAGATGCAATTTGTGAATCTTCTTCACTTATTCTAAAATTCTTTTTTTGTTGATAGTAAGAATTATGTCTTGAGAAAATCAGGCCTGATACAAAAATATCTTTGTAAATAAATTCCGCAAAAATGAAAAAAAGAATTTTATATATGCATCAGAACAATTTTAAGTCTGTACTCCGAATTTGTAAAAATACTAAACCGGAAAAAACACGAATTAAATCATTCTTATTATAATAGAAAAAAATAGCAAGGGAAATATGTATGCACTGTAATTTTCATTCCATGAAAAAGTACTCCTATCTTTTTCAATTTTTTCGGACCTGGATGTGATATGAATATATGTATATATAACAAAAGATTAATTATTTTGTTTAGAAATAAAGATTTATATATACAATTTCCGGCTTGCACATATACACTCACCCTCTGGATTGCCGGAAATTTGAGCATTACTGGCGATGGAGGCGTTTTTATCTGCCTATCACGTAGAAATGATATTATAAAACAATACAATCGTATATTACAAACCGTCTAAAATCAACGCGCTAAGTACTTTCTAAGATTTCACAAAATTAAAACTAAGAGAGAGACGTCTTACTTCCTACATATTCTGATAAAACAAAAATAAAATCGTTGATCTATCTATTTCTCTTCCTCTCTTTCTCGCTCGCTCGCTTTCTCTCTCTCTCTCTCTCTCTCTCTCGCATTCTCTTTCTTTCTCACTTTACAACTAACTGTGCGAGAATCGCACATATTGCTTGTCGTAAGTTTATTGCGGACCGCATATCCATATAAATCAATTTAAAATTTAAATAACATATCTTTTATACACAAATTTCCGCACATTTTGGCAGGATATGTGAATGAGGAAAAATTTAACGCCATTTCACTTTTTCGACATTTGATCAATTTCTAAATAGTGCAATTATCCTATAGATATTTTATGTATATACTGTAATTTTTTGAATTTTGGTGTCATAGCAATAATATAAATATATAAATATATGCATATAATATATATATAAATGCATATATAAATATATGTGTGTATATATATATATATATATATATATATATATATATATCTTGTAGAAACATAAGCGATAAATTATTATCATCCATATACTAGAATCATGTTTATGGCTATAAAGCGTCACACGCTAGATGAAAGTAGATAAAGTAGAGCACTTTGGTAAATTAATATGTCGTAAGAAATTATTGGGAATTAGGAAAATATTTTAAATTATCCTGGGGGGTCAATCATGTAATCTCATGTGAAACTTTTTATGCTTCATCTTTCACTTTTTATTTTTCACTCATCGAAATTTTACGTGAAACTTTTCACGCATAGCGTGCTTGAATGCGCTGGTTTCTAGGCCGGTATTCATAGTCCGTTTTTATTTCAATATAATTTATCTCCTGAAATCATCTATCGACGAATAACATAGCCAGACTTCTATTAAATTTCAAAGTACATTTATTAATTCCGTAAGTTTCCGCCTTTTCGCCACTATGGTTCAAGTGAACAAATTCACATTTTCACGGTTGGAGAGTTACATGATCGACTTTCGCATTAAACTAATGATATGAAATGTTCCAATATCGATATTAAAGACCGAAAGTGTTACTAAATATACACATAACGAGAATAAAAAATTTTTTTGTTATTTTTCCACAGTCTTCCGAGTGTTCGTACAGCAGAACTCTTAATGCCCGAATTAATTAAGCTGACTGATAATTAATTAATACTCTGATCCACGATTAATTACATAATTACAAATAACTTTAACTAACTAATTTTTAACTTTGATTTTTTTTTAATGTACAAATTGTATAATTAAAGATAACTATTTTATTCTCCGATTAGAGAAATAATAATTGACATACGCGAAGTATTTGTATAAATAAGATTACAGGAAATTATAGATAATATTTGATCCAATATTGGTCGAATTTTTACAACGATATGTTAGATTAATGGAGATGTTCGGAATTATCAAGGTTCCACTGTACAATCCTGATTCGATATTATTTTGACGATTTCATCGGCAAGTAATCGAAACAGATTCTTTGGATTTCGCACTAAGTGCACACCTTTTTTATTTCCTAGGTTTTTTTTAATACTATTTAACTCGCACGAACCGTGCAAGAGGAATCAAATGTAGCATTAAATATTATATCTTTCTAGGAAGTACATATTTTCTACGCATACGCACGCATTGGTAACAGAAACGCTCTATTTGATTATAATTCGCTTATTTTGCTTATGATTTCGACGTTACGCGATGAAATAAATGGCTTATGCTAAAGGAATTGAAAGAGCGCAACTCGGGAATTAAAAGTATCTCTATTCAGTCAAATATACAGGAAAGGATTGCTTGTTTCGGCAAATGCTACTCATACGATATAGGCATTCCACGATATTCGTGAAATCAATTTTTCAGATTCTTCGAAAAATCTGAAAAATTTATTCGAAGTTATGATAATTATGCGCATACTATATGTTGGGTATTTTTTAAATGCTGATTTATGCTGATTTATGTGAAGGCTAAATAAGTCAAAGGTATCTTGTGCATTTCAATTTGATATTCTTCGATGGAAAATACCTCGAAGAAAATTTCATATTTGAATCAGAAATCCTCGTGTAAATAATAATTTCTCTATTGTTGACAAAGCTAAACTTCGATTTTCGTGCTTCGACTTTTAAACATTTATCTTCTCACTCGAAATCTTTCGAAACTACGAGAGAAATTCTTATTAAGGGACTTGCTCTAATTCTTTATCTCGCAATCGCCTATACACTTACTAATCGCATTAAGAGGCAGGATAAGATTAAATGACGATCGTTAAACATTATACTTGGTAATTAGATTAACGAGCAATGTCAAGTTCATCATTAGGAGATCGATCAACGTGAATTAAAAGGAGGATGTAAAATCGCCCAGATATTTTCACTCTTTGATCGAATCATTTGTGACCTCGTGTCATACTAGAGCAAGTTTAGGAATGAAACTTCGCGCTATGGAATAGATTGGAATAGAATAGAGTCTATTTATAGAATTTGGGACGATCCCTCAGGTAGAGTAAAGTAAGTGTAAGTTAACGTTACAGTGAGTGACTTATTTGCTTTCTTTGGTCGTTGATCTGTACAATGCGCGACTTCAACATTTATACGGGTAAAGATACTTCGAAATCTCGCCTCGATTTTCACTTAACGAACATCACCATCTCACGTATCAATTAGTATTATTAATGAAGGAATTCATCTTCCTTTTTGCATTTATAGACGGAAAGAAATTACTGAATATTACTGAAGCAAAAAAATTTTGATTTGTTGGACTATCAAAATAATCATGTAAAACTTTGAAGACAATGCTGCAAAACGTTTTAACATTGTAATCACCAGTTTATATAATTTCTTTGGTGTAGATTCAAAATTATCTTCAGTATCTAGCTAAATTTTTAGATTTAGCAAAACTGATCTTTCCGTGCATCGCTTCACGAAAGTAGGAATGCCAAAAAGTAACAGTAATAGATCATTTCGGACTCTACGCGTAAATTTCTATCTGCATTGTATCGAGTTATAGCATTGCCCCGAGGGTCCTATTTTATTCTTTTTTTCCACCGCGGTATTCTTTCTCGGAGCAAAGGATGTCTTCGGGGCGAGTTATTTGTTGCGGATGTGTAAAAGCTGATAAAAAAACGATTCGTTTTATCGGCTATGCTTAAAGGTAATAACGACTTTCCCGCTCTCGCCGTGAGAGAGAGGGTAGATATACTTTTAGGCACTGAATCGCACAGTTTTCCGCACCTAGGAATTCCCCTGGAGTGACACCGATGAACTAGTGCGAAGGAGGGGCGGGATTACACACAAGATTCAGGTTCGAGTTCACGCATCTTCGTTGTCCCGGCCGACATCATACTATCTGCTGCTTGAGCTTCACCAGATTCGTCGCGCCATAAAGCTTCATGTCCAACGGCGCGCTCGGTTCGTTCTTCTTCGTCTGTGTGTGCCAGGCTAGCACCTTAGTGCAATTGTCCGCCAGCAGTTGGGCGTCCCGTGGCTCGAACGGTGCCAGGCTCTTCAGGAACCCGTCCTCCTCGTATCCCGCGCGGAACGGCATGGTGGCGTTTGGTCGCTGATGCAGGAACTTGACGTTCACGGCGAATCCAGCCATGTCCACCGGGAACTTCCGTCCAGCTACCCAACCATCATAGAACCCTGCGAATTTTCCGTTCTTCAAGATTGGCGAACTCAGTCCGAACTTGGTGCACAGTCCCACCGGAAACATCGACACTGTTTTTGTCTTGCGAATCTGAAAAAAAGCATGTTAAGATAAATCTTTTACAACAAATTTCAGATCTTTCACAAAATAAATACTTGTAACCAGTCGTACCTCGTTGAAAAGTTCAATATCATAAGTATTGTCGTCGTCGGCGAAGTAGAACACGCCTTTTGTGGCATTCGTTCTGATCCATTGTAAACCACGATTTCTATTCGACACCCCTCGCGGCTTGGCGCCCTTTTTAAGCTTGTACTTCTCCGGCATCGGAGCTACGCAAATATAACACAAACCATTCATATCGAGAAAAATGTCTTTTTTCTCTTCTTCTTAGGCCTCTGGCCTCCCTACTGAAAAAAATATATCACAACGTTACATGATGAAATCATGTAATTAAAACATGTAAATCACGTAACGAATTATTTCAGTACGTGATTTTTTTAAATAACATAATTTGAAAAATCACATAATATTAGAAATAATTTTATCCATCATGATTTTATAGTTGTCAAATTTTAAAGAATTGAATAATAGAAATGATAGATAGAAGAAAAAATAATATCATCATGTGACTTTCAAAATTACGCAATTTTAAAAAATCACGTACTGATTTGGATCAATCCGTTACATGATTTACGTATTTTAATTCACGTGATTTCATCATGTAACTATGTGGCTTGATTTTTTTCAGTAGGGCTGTATTACACCTCTCTTATACACTTGTGGTGTACATGATGATTATTCAATTGCCACGAGCATATGGGACCTACATTTTTAATACCGATTCCAAACGGCGAATTTTTTGAAAGATATTTCTGTGGCAAGGATACTCTCGGGAGGGCCGAGCTTTTTCCAAAAGGAGCGTAAATATTTTGGTTCCTATTGGAATTAAATCCAGGATCTCTGGCATGATAGACCAGTGCGCTGTCTGTTATGCAATTCTCGCGCTTGAGAAAAATGTCTGAATGGATTAATTAAAACTCTGATTGAAAATAGACGAATTAGAATTTTCTAGAATTTTTTAGTTGAAATAACTGGAATTTTTTCTGATATAATCAGAATCTTCTGGTTCGCCAACCAGTTCGTTTTCAACCAAAATATTTCTCTTAAGCCGATATTTATAGAAGATTCTTATATTTAAGATTGGCTTAAGTATTTAAGATTGGCTACGGCCTTAAATATAAAAAAATCGATCAGAGGGCCATATTAGCATCTTAAGACATTTTAAGATAATTTTAAGATAAGAACTATACATTCTTATATATTACATAATACATTCTTATATTATTATATCAGCTATCATCTGCGATTTTGTAACAGATTTATATCTGAAATATTCACTTACCGATTAAATGATCGAACTTCAAGCCCGTCCTTTCCAATAATGTGGTAACTTGCTTGGTAGCGACGGTAGCGTCTTCGATGACAAGCCAATGTATATTTTTGACCAGCATCAAGGTATGGGCCATTCTCGTGAGTTCAGGAATTTGTTCGGGTCTTCGATATGTTGGTGTGATGATGTATAGAGGTTCTTCGGAGGATTCCTCGAAAGGGATCGACGGACGAGACGTTACCGTCCTGTGTATCGCCATTGCCGAGAGTTGTGATTGCGGCGGAGACTTGAAATGATTTCTGGAGGCCACCGAGACGTTTTCGCTTAACTGATTGATAAGTTCCTGCACAAGCATCGAGCTTATTTCCGGACTCAGGCCGTTCGTGATTTGTACTTGGTACACGGCGTATCGAATCTGCAAAAAAAAAAAACGATAACTCGTTTGATAAAATATCGTGATAACAATTAATTGATATATAACAGTTAGATAACTGGACCTATTGGTGTATTCAAAACACCCTATTCGCTGTTTATAGGTAATTACATGATTAATCCAATAAATAGCAGTATCTAATAAATAGCTTGTGCAGGTTTAACTCGATTGCAATAGCTTATTACTCAATTTATTCATTCTATTATCATCAATAAAATGCAGACTGTCGAGATTATGATATGTAATATTTCGTAATAATTATTGGTTGTTTTCTACAACTACCGAAAGATGGTTATTAATTTCAATGGTTATTGTAGCTCTGTATTCGTATTTTATAACATTATATATTCAGTTCATATTTTTTTGTTACAACATTTCGTAATCAAAGAGAGGAAATTCTTTGTAAGTTAAACCAATATGGTCAACCTATAGATATATTGTATACATCGATTGAAAGATTCTTTGTACTTTTGTTATTCCAGATTATGAATTCTAATTCATCTGTTAAACATCGTAGAA